CAACAGAATTTGGCGCCGTAATTGACCATAAATTGTAAATTCTGAAGACTGATAATTGAGTAAAATATTAACCAACGACGTCCTGATCATTATCAACCCAGAAGAATCGAAACAAACAAATATGAACGCGAACGAAATTAGATTGGGATAACAATTTTAAGGATCTGACGCGAACGAAACTTTTCAGATTGAAATCAATTGCCAATTCAGATTTATGGAAATGGTAATTTTGGTTAAGCGGATTGGAATAAATAGAATCCGTTTTTCTCTCTATCAATTTAGATATAGGGTTATTACAAAACAATAATTCAACACACGATAACGCGAACGCAACAAGCGATACTAGAAGTACAAGGCGGACGAAATTATCGGAACCGCCCAAAATCGTAACCATGGCCGAAGCCGGTAAAGAATTTGCAGAGATTAAATGAACTTTATATTTCTCGAGGGGGTGATTTGTTGAAATAATGCGGACATGCTCGATATAATAATAATACTGCGATCTCAAGTCAAGCTTGAACGGGGAAATCTTGGCCAATAGCAAGGGTCAAAATGAACTAATAATTGCTCGAATGAGCGAACAGTCTGAATGGCTGATTGTCAATTGCAGATCATGTCAAGCCGCATAAAAACACATAAACTTATATAAGTTCATAACTTTTTCGGTCTGATATTGTTAAACTAAAGCATTTATTTGCTGTTCTGCAATTAAAATTATCATTCTTTCAACAAGGCGATATTTTTCAATTCTAAACAAGGGATTGAAATAGTAGAATAAGGTTTCAACGGGCTCCATGCGACCGAATATAATGAACAGCACAATTTAGAAGAGATCAAAATCAACTACATTTTGCTAACATATTGGTTAATCTGATACTCAATTGATTTACACCTACAAAACGGGGCTAATAAGGTTTGTTCTCTTTCTGTATTCGAGCACCCCAAGCCCACCTATCATTAAGAACTCCTATTAGCAACACAATTTCTATTAAAACAAATTAATGCAAATTTTCAAATGAAATGGAAAAAATGAGAAATGTTGAATAAAAACTACAAAACATATGATCACTAGAACTAAAAATGTTGATGATTGCAAAATGACAAATTTAAAATATTAGCAAATTTAAATAAAATATTCTCAATTGTTATCAAAATTGGGTAAAAATAACTGGTACTTTATTGACACGAAAAACGACTAATTTGGAACCCTATCATGTCATGAAGAAATGGCTACTGACATTGAAACCATAAAAAAAGTTATGGACAACGACTGAGATGCCAAGAGTTATTGGGATCAAATAGAGTTACAGTGGTGCATCAATGTATGAGAAAAACGTTGAATTTTCAATTGCTTGGTTGGTTCAAAAGCAAAGTATGATTCTCACCACAATAGAATAAAAAACCAACCCACAGACAAATTTACAAATGGTCACTACACAATAAAATAAAAAACCAACCCACCGACAAATTTACAAATGGTCACTGACATTTAAGTCATCAATAATACACAGACCACAGTCCAAAGTGGAATAAGACAAATGTCTGTAATTTTGATTTCCATTCATGCCATAAGAATAAAACCCAAGGAGTGAGGATGAAGTAGAACACTGACCACTGTGACATTTTATTTGCTACTTCCAACCCAAATCCCTGAAATCACTACGCAGTGAAATTCTCATGTCAGAGAGAAATCTGGTATGATATCCCCTATGCTGTCTTCTTCTATGCTGAAGATTGAATTCCGTGGCTCATCTTCGATGAGGAGACCAAATTTAGTTTGCTGTGGAACATTATCATTCGGTTCTTGCAGTTCCTCCTCATTTGATAAAACATTATCATCTCTCACAGGAATAGCAGCAACATCAGAATCTGTTGGAATTATTTTTCTCTCAGAAAATCCAATTTTGTTTGAGTCGCTGTCAATTTTTTGGGTCGAGTTTGTCGTTTCTGATTCAAAACCTTCTCGAGTATTTTTAACTTTCGATAAATCGCTCGCATTTTCATTAGAATTTTCGGTTTCAAACACTTTGTTTGTTTTTGTAAAGTTTTCTGAATTCAAAATTTCAGTTTCAAGAAGGGAATTTGGTGCAGATTTATTTTTTGCCTTTTTCAAGATCTCAAGAATATCTTTTGCAGTCCTAATTGGCTGTGAATGACCATCAGTGGGAGGTTTCGAATCCGTTTTATCCCCATGGTGCAGAAACGAATGTTTTTCTTCAATTAGCTTTACTTCTTTCTGGTTTTTACCGGAATTGCATTCCGCACCAAGAATTGCATCAGATTTTGTGGGTTTGTTTATTGTTTGCTGCTTTTTCGAAGATCTTTCAGTCAGTTGTTCGCTATGTTTACCATTTAGTGTTTGATTTGTTGAGTTCAGATCTGAATTTCCAGTCGATTGATTGTGTGCGACAGTATGCCAAATTCCATTCTCATCTTGCTGTACGACAACACATTGTAAGTCCCCATACTCATCATCACCACTTAGTGGTGGCTCTCCAAAACTCGTCGAGTCACACTCATACGCAGAAGCACCAACTCTCCTCGGAACGCTGAATTTTTTCTTTTTCTTAGGAACTTCGGACATGAAAGCCTCTCCCGAGTCTGGGATGTCAGTTGAAACATTTGTACCAACTTTTATCGACTTTTTCTTTAACCCGTTACGTCTAAATTGTGGCTGTTTCTGTTTCACCACATTATGCTCCAAATTAACAGTTGAATCTGGGGAATCTAGTTTAAGTGACACATTGTTGTTCTCTGCTGTTGTCATGCATATTTCATCAATTTGAATTAAATATTTTGGCGACTCTAAATCATCCCCGACGTTCACAGGCTTTTTTATCCAAACAGAACCAATGATATTCTGTTCGTCATTCTTTAATGTCCCAGTTTTATTGTCACTAGATAGCGTTAGAGTGCCATCTTGCCATACTTTACGTTTCTTCGTCTTCTGATGAGTGTAAAGGATTTTGAATTTTGACATTTTACTACATTTATTTTGACTACATTAACAATCTGTATTCAAAATGTAAATTATGAAATACATCCTGAATTTTTTATCCAGTATGTTTGTCTTGTGGACTGAAATTTTTTGCAACATGGCTGAGTTCAAAAAAATATATCCCATCCTACAGTCCTATCTGTCGAAGATAGATCTGTACTTGCCTAGTTATCAAGCAGCCACACTCATGATTAAGTTCAATAGTAATACAAAATACAGAAAAAATAAAATATTCAAACAATGATTATTAAAAATAGCCTAGATGTGTCGAGGGTACCTGGATATCCAATTCATCTTCACCGGATAGGATAGGATTTACATATTTATTCCGGGGGAGAGATAAGCCGAAAAGACGGCTTAATCATATGGCGAACCAGTCCATGTCGGGTATGGGATTAGTTAGCCTGTTATTTGTTTTCGGAAGCAAGGACTTGATGGTGGAGGAAGCCTTAACCGACCAGCGGTTACGTGAACCACCTTGTGGCGGCGAGGAGTCCAGCAATCATCTCGCACATGATCATCCTCACATGGGATTCGAACCTGTGAACCCACGAAGAGTAATCAGAGATGCGTGGCGAGCGTATTGCTAACGCTTAGCACGATGCGCCACACCGCCGAGCCAGTACAAAAAGAGTACAGCAAGTCCATATTGAATTGCATATTGTTGTTTTATACTTTAGTTATTTACTCTGAAATAATATCTCAACTTCTCATTCTGACGTGTTTAAACCGAAATATATATTTTTTTTTAATTCTACATTCTGACATTGGTCATGCAATGGCCATTTTCATACATCCAGTAGACTACATCTAAAGCATATACCGTACTAACTAATCCGAGCCCAATATAAGCTATCTTTGGGAACCCCTGATATATAGTATAAGAATTAGTAATTATGAAACTGTTTAATTTGGAGCAATATAAATCCATTTCCTCAGTGTTTCGTGAACTATCCGAATTTCGCGCCATAGCGTTCATTTCAGCTCTGCACTCATCGACAATAGTCATAAGCGGTACGGCTACACAAACCATCTTGCGGCGACTAATGAAAGTGAATGAGGATATCGCGAAATAATGTCGACGTAGCGAATATCAGTAATCTAATCAGTAGTATATTTTTTCACCATACTGAAAACGTAATTGATATACAAATTGCAAAAAAAATTAAAAAGCATCTCAGGTGAGGGGAACACGTACCACTTCTTCTTAGCAAAACCTTCCATCTTGTATACATTCTGTACGTTTTATACGTACGTACGTTATGTAAGGTTTTGTTTGCTCTCCTGATTTCATAATCAGTTTTTATTTATTTTAATAATAACAAAAAGTCGAACTGTATATGCTATTTGAAAAACAACAACAATAAATATGTCAAGGCAAGACAACGTGGTATGCCCAGTAGTCGCGCATTTTAAAAAAAGAAAAGACTCGAGCGATATATATCATCTCGCCTTTCTGACGTGGTAAGGAGATGTATAGCTACAATAAAAACACAACATAGATAAAAAGCTATCAAAAAATTGCTAAAAAATTAATAAGGTGTTCTTCCAAGAATAGAGTTTTGATACAAATACGGCGAATTCTAATTTCTTTTAATAAGATACCCCAGCGGTCCTCAAATAGAGCTCCGCCGCGATTTGCTAAGTGCAAAACCGAAAATTAACGTAATTGTGTTAAACATAACTTAGATATATATGATTGAAAATTATATATTTTGTATTTATTATAAATATCCTATTACTTCTTATTTCGAATGCTGTATGTATGTGACAATAAATTTGACCACAAAACTCAAATAAAGTGCGTTATTATATAAGTAAAAATACGAGTTTCAGTTACTTCCAGGTTAAAATAATTTTTTTGAAACATTTTACGATTGAAACATTCTGCCTTCTTTACCCTTGTCCTAACTGGCCCAAGGCACGATCCGTGGCCACCATACCCAATATACGCCACTGTATACTATTCTACATTCTATAACTTCAGAATGATCCCACTAACCTTAAGCGGTTTTGGACTCGGATGAGTTCGGAATATTTGATAATTTGACGGTAGCTTTGTCACTTTATCCTTGGTGCTGGTTCGATTGTTCGGGTTGGTTACAGGGGCATTCGCAGGCGGAACAGGCGCCCGTTTCTTCGGTTTCTTGCTCCCGTTCGTCATCTTGTTCGGCTCTGTGGTTTGAGAAAACAGAATGAGTATTTTTTTTAAAAATTTGCTTGAAGTCAAGATGTCGCACACTTGCACGGAAATACAGGGGATCAATCTTTTGGCAAAATTAGAGGCGACCATCCGCCTTGACTACATTAATTTGATGCGAATTGACGGTGGTGCGCGGACAATTTTTTGAGGGGACGTGAAGCTCATTTAAAATAAAAATATTTGTTAGATTTGATCTTGCCCGCCTTATTTTGAATATTTACAGTTATTTCATTATTTACGTTCCATCCACGTATTTTCGACGTGTTTAATTTTAAATAAAACATACTTTCGCCTAACTATCTGTTATTTGTAGCTTATCGTTAGCTAGTTATTTTTAGGTGTGACGTGAGACTTGAGAAAAATTCTAAAAAGGGGGCGCGGCCCAAAAAGTTGAGAACCACTGCTTTGGACGGGTACCATGGATCATGGAAGTTTGAAAAACACTAAATTATAGCATTTGAATAGCATGGCAACATTTTTGAATGCGTAATGAATTTGAAAAGTTTGGGAACCACTCTCGTACGTTAATTGCAAACCAATACTGCCAATACTTACATCGCGGTGGTGGATTATTCAGCAGAACCGTTAATGGGTAATAAATATTTAAAGTACTGACTATTTGAGTTATGTAACCTGAAAGGGGATAAATAAAAGAGTAGAATATAAAAAAATATAAATTCTGCAAAACGCGAACGTTGCTAAAATCTTAATCACGGCCATAAATGACAGATAACACTCATTAATACGAGGCAGCATGGGGCCCGTGAATCACAGAAATTGGTCCTTTATACTCTTACTGCAACACTCTTACATTATAGCAGACGATCTAATCGTCCCATAACTCTTCCGCTCTCAAGATCGATCTCATCTTTTTCACCAACACGTGCTACCGACAAATACTCACGACTTAATAACCAACACGTCATATCAAATTAAAACCACTATACAAACACTCCGCGAATATATTGAGTCTGGCTATTAATTAACTTACACCAGCAAACAAGCCTGCGACATAGAGGTCGTTCAGACGGTTCAGAAATGTTGAAAACTACTGAAGTTATAAACAGCCCATTGCACTAACACAGAGATAAACTCGAAACTTGTACAAATCCCCGACAAAAAAAAACACCCCGAAAATACTCAAAAAAAAATCATAATTATCCAATTATGGTTAAGTTGGGAACACAGATTGCACTCAGTCCCTTCTAGTACGGTATCCTACCTTGAAGTACTAAAAATTGACTGATTTATTATTTCCGAACAAAGGCAATATTTTCACAAAAATAACAACCCGTAACTCCCTAACAACCCTACGACAAAATCAAAACTTTAGTGAAGCAATGCATGGGTTGTAATTTCGTTCGCCTGTTTCACATCAAGCTGTGTGAATGATTTGAAACCTATGGACACGGGGTATATTCACTTGGCTAACACAGACAGTCGCCGAACTCGTAATAGAACTAAAATCAAAATGAAATTAGGTCCTATTCCTAACCTGGTACACACACTACTGAAGTACCCATGGGTTCGCTTCTGGCCCAAAATTACCAAATATTACCTGGAGCCGGAGAAACGAAGATGACAGTCCCAGTGTCACTCTTTATGACCTCACTATCATTTGAAAAAGTATCATCAAACTTATCTCTGACATCATCAATTGGTCCGTCGACTTTTTCCGTGGCGTCATCAATGTTGGTTTCGTTGTTGTCCTGGGAAACTGGAGAAGGCGAGATTGACCCTGCATGTAAAGGTTTATAGGCTTAGTCATTAGAATAAATTATATCTAATCTTAGTGCGTGTTATTTCGTTATGCACATTAGTTATTTGCTGAGCTTGGGAAAATGAAATAGGATATGATGGGTTTTAGAAAAATGCATGAGGAAAATTTAATAAGATAAGCGCCTTATAAGCCGTTGTGTCTAATGGAAGTGCTTTATTGGCGACACTCACAACTAGGGATGGCGGAATCGAGTCCGGATTCGAATACAGAATCGATTCTTCGCGGAATCGATTCTGATGCATTGCAATCGATTCTCGAGGTTGAAACTTGGATTGCTAACGATGTGTGACGTTTTGTGGCAATTCCTTCACATATATGTATAAACTGCCTTACTGCTAAGTTGAGTTGCTACGACGACGCAAACTTCACTATATATATATTTCGCTAGGAGGTTTTTACGTGTATGTATTTCTTTAGGTTCTTTTTTTGTGCGATTTTGTCTCCTGTGACAGATTGGATACCCATACCACTTAGTTTTGGCTTTTTTTTCCGTCCATATATTTGAGCATAGCTCTCTTGTTTGATTTTATATGGTATTGCTTAGTGGGTAAGTTTTCTTGGTAAAATATGTCCAGGAATCGAGATTCGGAATCGAAAATTTAGGAATCAGATAAGAATCGTATACTAGTAAGTAGTCATAGTTAGAAATTTAGAATCCTTACTCGGAACAAGTAATTGTACCGGTTGCGTTTTACAGACCGGTCCGGTTTATAGTTTGTAAAACACGGAATATATATCACCAAAATAATCACTGTTGGCAATGAGATTTCGATGGCATTGGCCCTGCCAAAAACTAATACTATATAATACCCGACACCCCGCAAATATAGCTGTTTTTAGTATTTCCTTCTAGCGCTATTTGAAAATCTCATCATTCTATAATTTTGTTTTTGATATGTTCAGGTTGCACGTCATCTTGGTACATATACTTCGGGGGCCCCCTTTATTGCCTGCATTCAAAACAAATACCGGTTGCGTCTTACAGATCGGCCCGCTTTATAGTCCGTAAAATACGTTGTACATATCACCCAAATTAACACTGTCGACACTCAGGTTGCGATGGCATACGGCCGGACTCGCCAAAGCCAAATACTATGTTATACCCGACACCGCGCAAGTATTATTGTTATTCGTAACTTCGTATGGCGCTCAATTTATCATATGTACACGAAAACCGATAAGGCGGCGTAGTCATATGGTGTACCATGACCGTATGTCAGGTTACCAGTTAAGATTAAAAATTAGTTCGCCAGTTATTTGTTTCAGATGCATGGACTTGATTGTAAAAGAAAGCCGTAACCGGCCAGAAGTTTAGTAATCCTGTCGCTTATAAGAGAGGCCTTCCATTGTTATGTCCATTCACCTCCTATATCGACGTCTAACTTTACTTTCTTAATCGCAAGATGTCGCCTCTCAGCCCGGCTTTCTAATTTTACTAGATTTATTCTCCCATAAGACCTAATGCATTTACATTGCGGGCCATCTATAGCAGTGGAAGCTCGCACAGTTAGGATCGCTGCGTCCCTTCGCACCTATTGTTGCCTTACTTTAATTAATCGCCTTCGGGCTCGCCCTCCTTATTTCGCTAGATTTATTTTCCCATATGAGCTAATGCATTTACAGAATAACCAACTTAAGCAGTGTAAGCTCCCACAACAAGGACCGCCATACCTGGGGCCTGAACCCTTGTCCTTCATTTAGCGGGACTTTGATTTTGACCCCTGAGCCACTAAGAGGTTGAAGAATATCGATGGTTTTTTTAGATGTTAATCTTCTGCTACACATGAGCTGAGTAACGTTGCCAGTTTCAAATGTAAATTCCATTGCAGAGTACAAGCGAAAATTCCTTTTTTTTTACCTCAGAGTGAGTGTGCGTGGCCTTGTCAAATATAAATTCTCATATGAAATAGAAATACATATTTATATATAACATTTCTATCCATTGCGTAAAGTGCTGGATAGAAGCACTAAGCTTCATTTACTCCCTTCCAGTGATGACGAAGTTGATTTTGAAGAATCAGTCACTCCATTCACTTCTGGCAACCTTGCCCAAGGCAATCCCTGTTTTTGAGCGTCAAAAACTTTAAGTTTGCCGGTACTGCATTCAATGGCTTTGATAAATGCTATTTGCACGCTTTAGTCTAGCTGATTTAGCCGATTTGGCTTATAAACTTGATTACAGATAGGTTGCGGTCTACTTTGACAGTCTGACTCCGCTACTAATAATTGAAATATTCTCATCCTAACATAAAGTGGAAATACCGGGAATGAATTCAAGTCTATGCATCTGAAATAAGTAAGTAATCGACTATTCCTATACCCGGCATGAACTTGTATTTAGACGAGATGGCATGGCTTGCTACATGTTTAGGCAGTATAGCCGCCTCATCGGCTCTCTCATCTCCCATTCAAAAATGCCAATTCTATCGCTATGTTTGGTTTGATTTTGAGCGATGGTTACGTAACTATTGCTTTGAATTTGCTAAATGGCGAAACATAATCTGATAATTTTATTATTGACGTAACAGATTACATGTTTTAGAATGGTTCTAATATTATACAATTTACATACCGTGTTTCCCCGGAAATACAACCTAGCACGGATTTTCAAAAATACTTTCAATATAAGCACTCCCCTTAATATAAGACATAGTGTCCTAGTCGATAGCGCAAAATTTTTCGACCTAGTCGAAAGGAAAACATCTTCCCAACACGTTTTGAATGTTTGGTCATTTTTTGAATAATCTATGTTCATCAGTTATTTTGAATAAACACTAGTTATTGAGAAAATGCATAGCGCTTTTCATATTTGAAAATCTCATAATTTTATACTTTATCATTTTGTTTTTGATAAATTAAAATATAAGACATTTCCCAAGAATAAGCCCAAGTGTTATTTTTCGTAAGAAAATTTACATGACGCCCTCTCTTATTTTCGGGGATCAGGGTATGTAGGGTAATCAAATAGTATTCAAACTGATGCTAGGGAGTTAACCCTACCCTACTGGATAAACGTCTGGGTGACTCACTAGTTCCCAAACAAGGCCGCACGATTGCTCAGTGCGCCCCGAAAATTAACAGAATTATCTCATCCCAACATGAAGTGGAAATACCGGGACTGCATTCAAATCCATGCATCTGAAATAGGTAAATGATCGACTATTTCCATACCCGATATGAACTGGTATCTGGACGAGATGGCATGGCCCGCTATCATGTATAGCCGTCTCACCGGCTTTCGTCTCCCCTAATATCGGTTCGATTTTGAGCGACTGTTACGTAACTATTACTCAAACTTATTGAATTGTCGACTCATAAACTGATGATAATTGTTACAGTGACGTAACAGGCTACAATTTTTTAGAATGCTTTAATATTATACAGGGTGTCACTTTTCAAAGTCACTTTACAATTTCAAATTGGTTAGGAATTCAGTTCTCAATATATCCTAACCGGGTTTGTTGTTTTTTATTCAGTAATTGTTTAGGTATTTTTACTTCATATAATACATCATTGAGGGCCAAAACAATATGTGGTATGGATAAATAAATTTTCTTTGCAGTTTAAATTTTTTTATGGACTTTATCGACACCCTATATAGTTGGCTTATGTGAGGTAGTCATATAATATTCCAACTAGTGCTAATAAATGAATTACAGGGAGTTAACCCTTCTCGAGTGCAAATAATATTATTTGAACATCAGCGTGAAATGTGTCGCAATATTTTTACAGACTATACACCAGAACAGATCGAGACAATGACTGCAGAATAATCAATCATCGAACAAGACAGGGAGCGATAAAGAAGCTTCGTCACACCAGCCGGAGTACAGGCTCGGCACCTGCAGCTCTGGGACGATGCTCGATAAACTTCAGGTTCCTCACTAGTTCCCAACCATAGCCGCACGATTGCTCAGTGCGTCCCGAAAGTGTCAGAATTGTGAAAAACATCGAAACGGGCGATTGTTTTCCAGTCTTAAAGCACAAATTATGACTTCTTACAACCTGGAAGTTAAAAACAAAAATGTTTTTATCGGCAACTGGACAACCCTGTTTCGCAAATTCACAGTATACTGCCGAAAGTATGGAATAGCATAATAGTTCGAGTGATCATCAGTTATGCGAACAATTTGTCTACCTACATCAGATCTCACTCTAAAAGTAAACTTCCAGTGTTATTGACATTGCAATTTATCCTTTATGCCTAAATGTTTACAAACTTTAAAAAGCGTAAAATACACATTAACGATCACACAATTGGGTTTTATTTAAGGCAGCATTCATTTTCGTGTGGGTGTGCCGTGAGTTTTTCCCTAATAATTTAGCGCCGTACGAAGGACTTTAAACCAAGAGACTACACTTGCTTGGAAACCGTCGAACATTTATTGAAACTCCCGAAGTATTTGAACCGAGATGGCAGACACGGTATGTGTACCAGGTTAGGGTTAGGCCATAATTACAGGTACAAATACTACGGAAGTGACTTGGCTAGTCCCCGAATTTGGAATAAAATTATGGCCAACCTGGTACACATACTGCCTTCCGGTGTCCGCCATCTTGGTTCACATACTTCGGGACGACCCATTTAATGATATATTGTCACGTTATGATGTGCCTAGATCATTTTTAATTAAGCATTGCAAAGAATTGGATATATTCCCCGTAAATATTATCAATTTGTTAACAAATCCCAGAATTATATTTTTTGGTATAAAATACGTCATCATAACGGGAAGCATTTGAACACCCAAATGCTCGATCCTAGTCCTGTTGCATAAAACTGCGTCTGATACAGGCGCCATTAAGTAAAAATTATAATGAAAAGTCGGGGAATCTCTGCCATAAAGTTTCAAAAAAAATCTTTGAAAAAATCATGGCTGAGAATGGGCGCTTCAGAAGTGTGTGTACCAATATGGGCGCTTCAAAAAGTGTGTTTACCAATGTGGGCGCTCCAAAAG